AGCTTTCGGTCGGGCTTCGGTAATCGTGACGCTACCGAGCGTTCCCGACGGCGGTAGCGGACATTTCCGACTATATCCAAGATGGCGCCAGCTTGTGCCGACTAGCTATTTTACTACTTTTCTGTCGCGCTGTGGAATATTTAGGCTGATCTAAACATCGGCAACCCGGCCAATTGTGGAGTTATATTGTAGGGAAGCTCGGGACAGCAAAAAACCGGGTCAAAAACGGAGCATCGAGCAGCCAACGGGAAATGTGCAGTTCTGCCAATGGATCTTTCCACGACTATTGCTGAGGGTAATGCAATGTAAGCCCGAATCAATAGTCGCCACGGCTATCTCCACCCCAGAGGTAATGCCAAAAACTTTTGACCTTTCACCCGCATATCAGAGAGCGACAAAATAAGCATTCTACGGAATCTAAACATGGCATATAAATGGCATGAAATAGTCAAACTACTTTATTCATAAGCTTCTAAAATATTCTAATAATTTTTTTAGGAAAGTTGCTAAGCATTCACAGGCGATGTTGACGATTCTTCGATTCTTTTTTGTACGTTTTGTCGCCCTCGTTTCCCACCGGAAAGAGACGTGTACTTTGGTGAAGGGGAAAATATGATGCTTGCGGTTTTGTTGACAGAAGTTGTTCGTATCGACCTATGTACGTCATTAGCGTGCGGCCCTACGTGTCCTGTAGCTATTGTAGTGTAGTATGGGGCAATGGTTGAACGCCAGGTGGCGACCCAGAATGGTGAGAAGAAGAAATCGGACGACAAGAAACGGTCAAGGCTGACGGAAAAACGAGCGAAGAGAAGAGCCATGGTGCGGCTTGCGGCGTTACGCCTGGTTCTCTGTCTACTTGTGGGGCTGTTCTTTTACATCGTTAAAGCTTCCAGGAGGTGAGTTTTAATGTTTGCTGAAGCGTTTTGTTGAGTAAACATGTTCAAGAAACTTGGTAGGAGCTATTTCTTTCTCGTGACAAAAGGGGGAGGGGGGGCTTGGGGAGGGCAAAAAATTTTCGCCACGGAAAAATTGCGTCACAAATTTATGAAATAAAAATTGTGCGTCAGAAATTATGTAACTTAGACGTGACAACTTGTTTTGCGTTCGTACAATATTGTCGCATATTTCTACATAATAAAAGGCTTTGCCTTGGTTTAATACAATCACAGGACTTTCCTCATTCACTCAGGTGGAAATAAGTAACTTTACCTAGCTTCGGTTAGGGATGGGACGTTAAATGGTAGACTCCCGTGTTTGGGGAGAGCCACAGAACCCACCGCACTTACTGAAAAGAGTAGGGGACCTTCCCGGTGTTAGTGGTTCAAACATTACAGTCTGGTCTTACGCAGCTTGTACAAAACTGGTGTGTTACGCCAGCGGCCTAAAGGCAGTTTACCGGTCATGTGAAACAAAGAAACAAAACAAACAATGTAAAGATGCAGTGATTAGTAAATGTAATACACTAAATGACTAATGTTGTATATTGTAACAGATGCAAGGGTACCGAAGTAACGGGTTCCTCACTGGCCGCCAAGTGCGGAACTCACGGGGAAAGTGGCGTCGACACTCGGGGCCCTGTTTGGAAGAAAGCTCCGCACTGGAATTCTAGTGCAGAAACGGCTTTGTTCCAGTGCTGAAACACCGTCAGGACTGGAATTCCAGAGCTGAATCTTGACTCGGCACTCGTTTTCTGGTGCTAACTTCCACTCAGCACTCGTTTGCCAGAGCTCGGAGGTCGTTCACCACTGGATAGCCAGTGCTGAATTCTACTCAGCACTCGCCACCAGTGCTCGGAGGCCGTTCACTACTGGATAGCAAGTGCCGAGGTTCCTAAGTAACGGGTTTCTCACTGAATCGTTCCAGTGCTCTGTGACTCTTGGTGCTGGAAGCCGAGTTCTCAAATCATTTCGGCACTGGGCCTCTGGTGCTTACGTCGGCCGCGCGGCGTACAGTACAGTATCGTAGGCCAAGTCTATGTCTGTGAAAATGTGAGGATCTGAGCCTTGCAGTATTGTCCTGCCGATCACCTTGTCGTCCCGATTATAATTTGCTTCCCGGGCGTTATGATCTCGAAAATATAAGTGTTAGAGTTCAAAGGTGGCATCTCGGTACCCTTTCTAAAGACAAGGTTTGATTTGCCGATTTAGAGTTTCCAGTGCTGAAGCCGCGGACACTGGACACCAAGTGTTGACGTAACTTCGGCACTGGAGATCTAGGACGGAAGCCACCTCACCTCTGTATACCGAGTGCTGAGAAAGGAACCCGTTACTTCGGTACTTTTGCGTAACAGATGGTAGCAAATTAAACCTTCAAGGATGTAAAATTTGATGGCCAAACAAATTGCACAAGACTGTTTTATTTGGTGGGTGATTGATTTGACATTTGGAAATCTAGTTGCAGGTAAAAGCTCAAATAGGCTTTAACATTTAACTTTAGAATAATTGTATATGTAACAATCCCTTTTCCCTTCACAGTTCCCACTATGCAGTTAACCCCAGCCCTCGACTGTTCCACCCCATGTCACCAGTCCGAGAGTTCAGGGCAGGAGATGTGCAGACCATGAAGATACTGGTCGCACACAGCGAGTTGTCCATGGTCATGTTTTACGCACCCTGGTGTGCAGAGTCCAAACTCGCAGCTCAGGAATATGTGCAGGCTGCAAAGGAGTTGCACAAAGAGGTGAGAATAGAAAAATTCACATTCCTTATGAAACTTGACAAACCATGTATCATTAGCTCAATATGTTCGTATATCTTTAACTGCGTCAAGAAGTGAGAAGAAGTTGAACCTGTAAATAGTAGATCACATTAGTATGTTAAGTTTAAGTGTCATTGCTGTATTCTTTTTTCTTGTTTATTCCTGACCTGTACTTAGCTTGTTAGAGCACAAACGTACAATAAAGGTCTTTCATTTAATAAATCCTAGTGCAGCCTTAGATTAGAACTTCTGTTGCTTTCATTATCTTCAAGGTGGATATTATGACATGGGAAAAATGAGTGCATCTTATAATGTGGGACTAGTTCCACCCTTTGTGAAACTAATTCCATTATGATACCGTTATGATTCCACAACAAGTCCAAGGTTTGACTGAGTACTATTTGCATTTGTATCAACTGTAACTAGATATGGTAAGACAGTGGAAAATCTTTTGTTTCTTTTTCCAGATATTTTTTGCAGCCATCAACTGTTGGGAGTATGCAGGCGAATGCAGGAAAAAGTTCGCTTTCCAGAAGTTCCCTAAATTCTTCGTTTACAACTCAAGGCTTGAAGGGATTGAGTACAAGGGTCCTGTCACCACAGAGCATATAGCAAAGTTCCTGCGCAGGGTAGCCTCACCAGTAACATATATAAGAGACCTGGAAGACCTGGTATTCTTCTGTGCGCTAGAAGATGTAAGTACTTAAGAGCATTGTTTGTTATTACTTAAAGAGAATAGACACTACTGCATAAAACCCACCTCCATACAATAATTTCATATGAAGCACGTCACCAGAACATACTGCACCTGCGCGAAATACATAATGTACTCTTTGGCAGAAGGTCTCATATAAGGTTATATTCGCGCATACAAGGTTAACATTCCGTCTGTAGTTTCCAAATGTTATGTTGGAAAAGATACCGTCTGCAACAGGCAAAATTCTGATGCAACGTTGACCAAAAACCCAACGAAAAATGTGAAAAATTGGGGGTTTTGCGCAGGCACAGTACATTCTGCCAACATGCTTTCATATGACTGGTAAATACTTGCAAGAACATATCAAGGAATGCATGTACATGTATGTAATAATAATAGATTATATCTCAGCTAACCATACATGTACATGTACTGTTCATACAGACAGGGGTACTAGCATACTTTGACTTCAGTGACTGGAGACCCCCCCTTGGATACCTGCACTACTACCTGGCAGCACAGAATGCCTTGGAAAACAGTGAGTATCATTTCATAAGGCCACACCAAGTAAATTTTATGGATGACGTCCGCGCGCGCATTGATTTTGGCCTGTTTTTAGGAAAAAAAACAAGAAATTCCGCTTCCTGTAACTATGACCAAAGAGTCACGACAATGCCGCAAATCGTTAGATTGACGTGAACCCCGTAACGCGAAATGGGTAAAGAGCACATGCTTTGTTTCTGCAGGCCTGCAAAAATGTGATGAAAGAAACAGGACAGGACGATAACTGCTGTTCCACCTGATTTATTGCTGTTTGATGATGAATAAAAGACTTCTTGCTTGTTACACTGTGTCACCTCATTCAATTTGTGTCCTAACATTTGTTGTCTCTTAGTATATTTCTAATCTATGCATGTTATTTTTCAGGGCCCTTCTTGTTTTTTTTTTGCCCTCTCGCATTAGATTTAGGGTCTCCAAAGGACATCATCCATAAAATTTACTTGGTGTGGCCTAAGAAACAAAAATCACATTTCGTCTGTAGGGGATGTAACGTTACATAGTATTAAACTAAGGAGGATGATACACAGGCTATATTTTTCCAGGACAGAATACAAAATTTAATATAGAAAAGTAGTTATAATGGAGGAAAAAGTGGTAAGTCATTCTGCATTTCATATCAGTCAACTATTATAGAGTTATTAGATTTTGAAGATTTGTCGGGGGTATCGGGTATTATAGTCAAGGGGGGTATGTTTATTCAGGACCTGTAAATAATTGTGATACGGACATATAGATGCACACAAACACAGTGAGAACACATTTTTTTAGAATAAACGTTGCTTAGGCCACACCAATTTAATTTCTTGGTTAACGGATTCGCCGCTTCATTTTTTTCTGATTTGCAAATAAAAATAAAAATTCAGAATCAACTGCAAAATGCTCATATTTTGCCCTGAACAGTTGAAAACAGACTTTTCCTTACTACTTGTTACATTCATTCCACATTTCAATGCAGTCGCATCATTATACATGTAGGTTCAAAATTCATTGTTTAAATTTTGAACCAGCCTGGTGTGTTGAATTCATGGCTCCTATTGTATCATT